CGAAAGATCCGTGCACACGAGCCCGCCGCGACGGATCGTGCAGTCGTGCACACGAGCGGTTTGTGCCGCGGGCGGAACCGCGCGTTCCAAACCGCTTGTGTGCACGGTCTGTCGCGGCGGAACCGCGCGGTCCACACCGCTCGTGTGCACGGATCTTTCGGGCGGCTCTTCCGCGCGGGACAAGCCGCTTGTGTGTGCACCGTCTACCGCGCGCTCCAAACCGCTCCTGACGTGTCCGCGCCCTTAACCTCTAAATCGTCAGCGGAATAGTTTCACGAGCTGTAATTTAATACAATTCTTTTTCTATTTGTCGTTGCCTGCACTTTGCAATAAATACAAATTTAATTATATTTTTTAAACATATATAAATTAAATATTTATTCTTGTAATTGTACAATAATTCATATCTGTATTACTTTTTAATATAAATTAATTGAATAAAAGAATCATCTGTCTGAAAACATTATCTGTAATGATCTGTGTATTAATAATTATAACATTAACAATGATACATAAACTGCTTTCAGCATATGCAAGTACCAAGTCCCTGAGGTGCATTTCGACGTTTTGTTAACGTTTTGTTGACGTTTGGTATTATTTTGATCAACTGCTGGCTGGGTTTCCTACCTACTGCTGTTCAATAGTCTACGCTGGACAAACTATACGTGACAGGTATGTTTTATTCAACACACATAAATTACGTGATATTTTTTAATATTTTGTACAACTTGTCATAACTATTTTGATCAAAAGGTTCAAGTTATCCTTGACAGTTGCAAACCCGTATAGCAAAGATACTCGATGCCAAAAGATGTAGAGATATAGGCAGTGATGGTAGATTTAAGCCACGAGTCATGGTGTTTTTCTCCCTCCATTTACGTACAGAAAGGCACTCTGGCTATTCGTGCAGCTCAGTCGTCATACGAATAAACATAGCGTCTTTGTGTGCGCAAGTGGTAGGGGGAAAACGTCATGACTCGCAGCTGTATCACTGGACTTATATAATAATTAAAACGTTTTAGCATTAAATATCTTATAAAAATTTGTTGTTTTTGCAGGTGTGATAAGAAATGCACATGCATCTGTGAAGGATGAACAAATTTCTAATCCCATAAAAATATGGTTGGCACATGCCAAAGAACGCATGGATCGCGAAAGAGAAAAGAAAAGGGGAAGAAACCAAAGAGATCAGGTACAAAACGAACCTGATGACGAAGCTGACGAACCTCACGAATCTGAAGAGACTGAAGAACCCGAAGAACGTCATTGACATAGTATTGAATCAGTCCGTTATCGTTACTTAAACCTTTCTCTGCGCATCGATGGATTCAACATCTCGATCATCGAGATACCAGTATTGGTCTCGCCTCACAATAAGTATTACTGCCGGTCATTTATTCGTGTCGCAAGATGCTGATCCTTCGCCGCTGATTACCTACCGGTGTCCTCCTATCCGTCACGTTCTTATCGCGCTGTCACGTACCGTCCGTCCTTGATAATAAGGATTCGCTGTCGAGAAGCCATCAAACGCTATGACTATTACTCGCATCTCGGCCGATGTGTCGCGACGGCAATCGCGGTCGTTACCTGTTTACGGACGGTTTTCTTCTATTTTGTACGCTTAATTCGGGCCATATTTGTAGATAGATTGTACGTTCGGAAAAGCTGCTCGACAGCCGCTAGTTTGACCGGCGATATCTAAGTTACTACGTCAAACACCGACTATAGAGGAATCGAAATAAGGCACGTGGCTTATATTGTAGCGAGTTAGATAGAAATTTAGGCGTAATTTACCTTGAAGTTCGTATTGGGAAGCGACCGTTTCGAGCAAGGGGACATCTCACGACATCCAATTTTATTCGTCTTTTATATTAGCCTAGAGTCTTCTTGAACAATATTACTTATTGGATAAGTATCTCGTGTATATGTTCAGAGAAAATCTTGGTGATCCTATGCGAATCTTCAAATCTATTCTTTTACAAAATTCAATACTTCTATTTACCCATTTCCAAAATTTTAATACTTTTAAGATAAATGTTTTGGTCGTCGTTTGTAAATTGCATGTCGCAGTTGTCCCCTCGCGCATCACACGCGAATCACTATTGCGGCGCAATCTGTCACTCCGGATTAATAAACATAAGCGATTCAACACGATGGTATGGCCTATTACTACTGGTAGAGATGGGCGATACAGATATTTTAGATATCGATACGATTAACGATTTGCATGTATATAAATTTTTCTTGTTGCTACACTGAAAAAAAAAATTATTATTTGCAAGAAAATAGATTTCTTTGAGTTTAGTTTTCTTAATTCAAAAGAAATATTAGGTAGATTCGAGAAAATATTTTAAACTTAGAAAAATGTTTTCTTAAATCTACTCAATACTTGTTTGAATTAAGGAAACTAGATTCAAAGAAATCTATTTTCTTGCAAATAATAATTTTTTTTTTT